TATAATTTGAAACTTATATAGCATGTAAATTTTGTATATTCGATTCAAAAGGATTAAAGCCAAAAAAAACTAACCAACTTTGGATTAAAATGTTACTATTTATCTTTTTGAACTCAGATACATAGCACATTCAAGATTTATTTTGAAAACTCATGACTTTAAACGTCATTTTATAAGAATTCCACTATGAAAATGTTGATTAAATGACATGAAATAATTCAAAAAATTCACTAACCTCTGTTCTCTACATGTTTTCTCACTCAATCCAATGATATTATACTCCATATTCGAGGGTAAGGTCTTGACGCAAAGGTTCTTCAGCATTCTTTTTGCCTAATCGCCAAAAAAGAATCAAATTCAACGTTTGAAATTTTGAATCGATAAGTTTAAAACAGAACAAAATTGTTATACCTTGATCCAATCGATCTCCCTTAAGCTGCGAACGTTTTGGTTTTCAAATAGGAAATCCATAACTTTCCTTGGCTTGACGATCATAGTAGTAGATACATCTGTAATAGAATCAAATCAATGTTGATTGATAATTAGTATAATCAGTCATAGCATTATAGTTTTTAAAATTAGACAAATAAAAAAGACGAAATCGTTAGTGTTTTTTACCCATGTTCAAACTCAACCCAGATTGGGTGGCGCGAAAACTTGAATGGAACCCCCTGCAACCCACAACACCACCTCCAATGCTTATGAAGTTCCTTGAATCATTTTGAAAGTAGCATTGTCTAACCAGAAGACAACCTATGTGTATAATCCCAAATAAACCATGATTAACGTAATTGAATACAAATACATGAATAATTAAGTAGAATTTCTTGTTTACATATGTATATGACTTACTGTTTCGCCGCGTGTTGGCGAAGAAGAACATCTAAAACCCTAACTGCTTCATGAAATTGCTCAGAATCGTGACCTTGAAGCGCATTAACAACAGCTTGAATTGGGATCTTTGTCGCAAAACTTAAAGTCACCTTATACTGCTTCGATTGAGGCACACGCCTCGATCTTTTGGTTTCTCCTTCACTTGGGCTTCCACCTCGGATAGTTCTATACAAACAACACGTGTTTGTTAATTGTTAGCAGCATGATTCTTAAAAAGAAAGTCGAAAGTCAAACATTGTTTATTACCTATTTGATGCGGCATTTTCCAGAACGACATTGAAGTCGAGCTTAGTTGCAGGTAAAGCACCAACGGTGAAAAGAGTCTTTTCACCATCGTACGCAAAACCTTTGCCACCTATTTCAGATTCGTAGGTTTTATGAACCATATCGAGTATTTTTCTTCCGATCCCTTTTGCCTCGACGGGATTTCCATCTTCATAAAATAAACCAACCTGAAGAAGAGATATTTGTAATTCATAAGTAACCATCGTCACAGTAGATGGTGCCGAGATTTCAAAATTTTGGATTTAAAAGCTTAATTAAATTGAATCCCTAATCTCCTTTAAACTGAATCCCGTAATATCCTCAATAAAGATACAAAGATTGAAATCTAATTAAAATTTTAGCAGATTTTATAGGATTTGAGGAATGAATTGGAAAAGATTGAGCGGGAAACAAAGGGAGAGAAGCTCCAAAAAAGAGACTCGAGACACGTGGATTGATGGAGCATATAGAAGGGACACGTGACATGTAGGAGAGGCAATTATTAAGAATGGAGATGGAGATACGCAATCCCCTTTATCTTGTTCATTTTGATTGTAAAGAGAAGCAGCAACGAAAGATTTCTTCTTCTTCGTCTCTCATCTACTTCTACTGTTACGACCTTCAAAAATGGTACTTTGCTTATGTGTGAATGTTGCTGTTGTGCGAACCTCGTGGACCGCGCGAAACCCTGGTTGTCGTTTCTACGCATGCCCTAAAATGGTAAGAAAACTCATATTAGGTTATGATATTTCAGTAGTTATGCAATAACTCTTATATTTTAATATATTCTTGTAGGGATCCAGATGTGCATTTTTGGGGTGGGTTGATCCCCCTATGTGTCAAAGATCAACTGTTATCATACCAGGAATGTTGAGAACAATGAATATGTATGAGGTTGAAGTGGGTCAGCTGAAGATGTACTTAATTGGTTGCCTCGTGGGTGTTGTTTCTATTATTTGTGCTGTTTTGGAATTAGGAATTAGAGGTTAGGGCTTTTTTGTTGGTAATAACCATCTGAAAATGTTGTCTTTTGGTGCTAGAAGGTTTGATGGTGGTTTATATATGATGTAAGTGCTGTCTTTTGGATCATTGGATATGTAATGCTCTTATGAAAAATGGAAATGTAATGGTTTTATCTTTAAATGAATATGAAATTATAAATGTTTTATCTTGACATGATATGCAATTGTAATGGTTTTTGTCTTCACTTGAATATTCAATTGTAATGGTTTTACATGCATATATTAAGTGCATTGCCATAACATCTTCATGCTTTGACAATAGAAAATAAACCAATAACAAAGTACATTACCAAAAGGGCACCAAAAAAAGGTTACATACATATATTTAGTTACATACCATAACATATTAATGCCAAAACACAATCATTACCAACAAAGGGCATTAAAGTACATGACCAAAATGCCCTCACATGGAGGGCACGTGATGGCCCTAACGGCTCCAAACAAATGGACTAAGACATAATGGACTAAAAACCCATGAAAACCTTGATTTTGGACCTCTGGTGCAAGCTGGAAACTTTTTGGACCCCATCCAAAGGTTTTTGCAAACCATAAGGACCAAATTTGCAGCTTTGTCTTTCTAAAAACATCTCCAGCTCGACTTTTAAAAAAAATAGCTTTTTAACTACAATAGCTTCAAAAAAGTGATTTTAAATTTTTTTTAGCCAAAACACTTTTTAAATTGTTAACGTATTGATTTTTGTCACCATAAAAACTAATCCAAATACTTTTTTAAAAACTCATTTTGCCACCAATATAAGTCAATAAAGATTTTTGTTCAAACACAATTTGGAGTTTAAAAAAAAATCCCCAGCACCCCCTCAAATTGCTATTTTGAAAGATTCTTTATGTTAAAATTATTTAAATTAAGTATTGTTTTTTTTATATATATTGAGTTAATTATTCTTTTTACATTATTTATCATTAAACTTATTTGAATTGTTCAAAATATAATATTTTAATCGGGGTAAATGCTTTTTTATATACGATCCATTAAACTTTTTTATACTCAATTTATCATCAAACTATGTCATGATAATTTTCACTAGCCAACACAATACACTCACACCACCAACTGCACCTCCCACTGTTTCCATCTACTTCCAACAACAAACACCACCTTCTATTGCCACCACAACCACCCATCCCCATCATTCACCATTGTTACACCCCCAAACCGACGGCGGAAACGTCGGGCGGTGAGACGACATCATGGATCACAATATTAAGCATACATTGAACAATACAACAATACGATATAAAATAGATACTTTTAGTTATTGAAAATAGTAGATTACAATATCCCCTAGTGTAGGGTATAAAAAGTTGGAAAGTACATAATACGCCCTAAAAGTAAGCAACTTAAGAAGTACTTAAATACAAAAAGATAAATTGTAATACCATGATTGTTCTGAGAATATGTCTTCTAGCTGCTTAGTTCCCTCAGAATATATGCATTTTGAAAGAGTGACAACTTTAAAGTTGGTTAGTTTACAGGTTTGTAAAGTCTGAATAAAATATACTTTTATATCAAAAGTATGTTTGTTATGTATATAGGTAGTTTCCTAGCCTTTCTATAATTGTATTTATTATATATTGTGAGTTCTTATAACCAAACTTCTGTAAATATGATATGACCCTTCTGACGCTTCATCCGACATCGTAAAAGTGTACCCAATTATCATCCTACTTGACTTGTCCGTCTAGGTTGTAGGCTTGTAGCTAACAACCACAGGTGAGGGTGTCAACCTATATAGATCTATAAATAATTCCTTCGCTCTTCGATGATTAACGGTTTTAAGAAAAGAGTCTTACTAAGTATTTAGGTATTTAATTGATGAATGTATCTCACATAAAATTTGTATCAACTTGAAAAGCCCTAACATTAAATGTCAAATTTTCCAGGCAAAATTTCTACAGTATACCACTATTGTTTGTGTTTTGTAATTAATAGTTCTACAATATAACTCTACTATATTAGTGCACAGTTTCTATAATATAATTCTACTGTATTTATTTGATAAACAGAGGTTCGACATTATAACATTGGTATAATTGTTTATGAATAGAGGTTCAAATAGTGTTTTAATATTGATTTGTACGAAATATGAGTAATTAACAATATAATAAAAGTTTATGCATGTATTCCCCCCCCCCCCCCCCTTAATAACAACAGTAAAATGGTTGAAAAGTGGGGCCGCAAACTCACTTTGTATGAAGCTTAAGGTTAAATCGAAGAATTTAAGAAAATCTGGAAAATATCAGTTTTAACTCTTCGCCTGTTCGATGAATAGTAACTTGGCTGGATGAAGAGTACCTCTCCGGAGTTTGGCTGGAAAAAGTTGCTGGTGACGGTGGTCGGTGGCGACATACAGTGACGATCGGTGGTCGGTGACAGTGATTGACAGTTGTTGGGTCGTTGGAAGCTGCTAGACAATAGTGAAGGGTTGGTCGAAGGTTCGTTAATGCTTGTTCAGAGCAAAGGGAGGCGGTAGCCAGCAGTTCCGGTGGTTCTCGATTTTCCGGCGCGGCAGAGATAGGCAAGGTGGTGGTTCCGGCCGACAGTCTTTGGCGGTGATTAAGAAAGCGGGAGAAAGAGAGAGAAGAGAGGTGTGAGAGAGATGTGAGGGTGAGGATTCTATTTATAGAAGGGTAAAATCCGATCCAGCGGCCCATATCGATTCCGATCCAATAACCCGTATTAATTGAAGAGATTTGATTTGATTCTATTCGGCATCGGCGATAGGTATTTCGTGAAATTACACTTGCATCTATTTCGTCATTAAAATCAAATACTAGATGATTTTCTGACTAGGGAAATGCGAAATCTGGTTCCTGACGAATAGCGTAGCTAACCTAACGAATCGTTTGAAATTTCATTTTCGGTATAAACTTTGTTTACAGTTACGCTTTTTCACTTCGCAAAATGGTCAATATGTCGTGAAACGGAAAAGTTAGGATCGCAATTAAATACTACATTAAAACCTGGTTTGTAATATATAACTATTTTTTCGTAACCAATCTCAAAACTAACCTAATGAATCATCCAAAGGTCTTTTAGCAGAAATGATCCATCTTTTGTTGTTTGATTTTATCCACCACGGTATGGGACTTTTTCGGGCAAGAAAAGTTAGGAACGTGATAAATTCCTAAATTGAATAAGATTTATGGGAAAATTATCGGGAATTGAAAATTCATATCTTTAGATGTAGTATTGCTCGTTTGAAGTTCGTGTTTTGATACCTAACAGGTGGTAAGCTCTCACCTGGTTGTTCGTTTTCTTAGAAATGTCGTATCTTTTGCATACAAACTTCGTTTTCGACGTTCTTTATGTCCGCAATTTCGTAATTACATGTACAACTGATTGTTTGTGCATAAAAATATTCAATACATATATCTCTTTCAATCATATGTACTAACTCATTACTTATGGATATTGAAATTGTTTTTTTGTCGATGATTCATATCAATCAAAGAATTAACTGATATTCAAGATGTATTTCAAAGTATAAAAATTTATAAACATCAAAATGATTTGATTAGAACTCGTTAGAGCTATTACAATAGTGTTCTAATGATATTGTTTTGACTAAAATTGACCTATTTTTTGCAATTGTCACAGCCACCACCACCACCAAGTAACTAAGTCTAAAATATACTTCAACATGCAACAAAATCGATTCAAACTCACACTCAAACCTAAAAAAAAGTCGATTCAAATCTACAATTAATTCAAAATCACACTTCAGCAATAAAATTGCATCGTCGAACGAATGTGGTTACTAATGACACACAATTCAAAAAGAAAGGGACGAGAGAGGGAAAGTGGGATTAAGGTGGTTTTCGCAAAGCAGGGGAGAAGGAGAGGAGTGGGGAAGTGGACGACGACATGGGGATGTCAGCGTTAGTAAAGGGTGTTTGGGCGTTTTCATTGGAGATTAATAGGAATAAATACGCTTTGCAATATTTCAAAAAAAATTAACATATAAATGTTGTTTTATTTTTTCCTTGAAATATTGTTGGTCATAGAAAATGATTTGAAAGTTGATGATAGCCGAAAAATATGAAATAACTAAAAATGTACACAAGTTAGTTTCATGGTAAATCGTATACGAAATGTAAGTTTAATGATGTTTCTTGACCAACAAATACGAGCTTAATGGTGTTTTCTAAACAAGTAAATCGGCTTGACCAACAATAACTGATCAAATGGTATTCGTGAACAACAAATATAATTTTAATGGTAAATAGCATACAAAAAAGTGATTAAATATGTACAAAAATGATATTTCATCACAATGCAAAATTATTTTCTCTTTTTATTTGAATCCGATGATTATTATTTTCTAGAATTTCATGATAATATGACATTTCACTAAAAAAAGAAATAAAAAATAATGCTGCATAAACAAGTATTCAACCCTTTTTAAATAAACTAATAGCAACAATAAAAGCTACATTAAATTAAAACTTATGTTAAAAGAAAGTAAATATGAATATACCAATTTAAACGTTTGATTAGTTTTTTTCAATGATGTTATCTATTTAGTACACATGATCATTTTACAACTATCAATACCCAAAATTGATACCATCGAATTAGCACAAATGTAAAATTACCAATCTTGAACTCATTACTCAAACTTTTTATAGGTCATTATTGAGAATATGCTACAAAATAACTTTAATCCTTGATTTGTGTACATGATAAGATTCAATATAAAAATTTTCCCAAAATTAAAATATAACATACACTTTGGATCCAACATAATTTAGAACCAATCTGCACAAATTTCATCCAGATTTTATAGGGCGATGGTGTTGATAAACTTTCGTTTAGCAAAAGCTAACCACCATTTGTTTGGAGTTCCATTTGGTCTGTATGCAACACTTAACAATCTTCCACTTGTTTCTTCCCTTATTTGCTTTAAATAATTTCGTAATAACTCTGCAATTCAGACGTTTTTAAATATATCAAGATTCATGAAGAAGTGTCCAATTGTGAATTATTTTCCAACTTCATTAGACTTGCAAACATATTAGTTTCTATAATTTGCAAACAAGTAATCGGAAGTTTGGCAGAAAAGAAATGTTGCCAAATGGACAGAATTCAATTCCGTCAGATTCCTTCAAATTCCATTTTTGATGAATTTCACCATTCATAACAAAAGTACATTCCTATCTTTTGCATTTTCCTATCAAACACAAATGACCAAAATACCCTTGGGCAATTTCTTCAAGTAAGAAAAATTTACCTGCTTCTTCTTGAGAGGGAGGGAATGGAAAAAGACCAGGAAAAGGGAAACCGGATTCACCAGGAACAGGAACATCTTCCAAACCAAGGTTAATTACCGCTTTTGTCCCTTCAGCTAATGTTCTACACCCTTCAAGCCTCTTCAAAGCCACATTTATATAAAATGTTAAATAAACAAGAAGTTTATCAGCTGGACTTTGTATGTCAAAGTTCTTGAAAAACACATTCGCTCTAAAGAATGTAATTGCTTCATCAATTATATCAGTTGTAGCTGCAAAAAGAACATAAGAACAAGATTTAAAAATATATAATCTTTACTATTTACTAATAGAAGATACAAAAAGTTTTGACCTTGATCTGAAACTGGAGCAGGTCCTCTTATGTGACTTTTTAAAGGAAGTAAAGGGCATCCACAAGCTTTCACAATTCCTTCCTCATCGATAAATGTAGAGTGATACACCTGAGAAACAAACAAATATTCACTTTCTATGATCAAGAACATGAGGGGTAAAATCGTATTTTTACCATGTTTTCAATAGAAGGGGGGGATTGCTTGTCACCACAGGAAGGAATACACCCGATTTGATTTTGTGTCCACTTCCTGCGAATCAATTATCCATAAGCCCAAATTAATCGAATACAAACCCCATTTCTAATAGCTAAATGATACCAATCTAATACCAGTGTTACAGCAGAGTTTATGGGTTTCCTCTTTAAAACAAGTTAAAATCGATGGGTCATGATCGTAAATGGGAAGAAGATGAACTCAGGTGGTGTTAGTTTTGAACCAAATTCCAATGAAATTATTAAACCCAGAGAGAGGTAAACAGAAGTACCTGTGGGAGTGGGCTGTCGCTGGGGTAAGATTTATGATCAGATCGGAGATGGGTTTTGTTGTTGATGATGGAAAGCTACGTTTGTTCTGTCTGAAACCGGGTGCTAAGTGCTAACTGAAGCGATGATTTGGGTTATATGCAAAGTCAAAAGCAAAATCACTAACCTTGGAACTGTTGGCTTTTCGTAGAAAACTATGAAAATGGCACCAGGACTTCGGTTTTCTGCTAGTTGCAACTCAAATGCATTTCATTTTTGACTTTTTGAGCTTGTTTTTACTTCGTCAAAGGAAAAAAAAAAAAAAAAAAGGTTAATTATGTAAAACTCGGAATTTTTTCAGTTTTAATTTTTTTTAAACGACAAAATAATGTTAAACAAGTGAGGGAAATTGAGTAATTTGATTCTTGATTGATTTAGGAGTACGATTACGGACCATGGTTCCGGAATAAATTTGACTTTTTCTTTTTTCTTTTTGCGTGTAACATGTGGCTTTTCGTTTAGTTTTGGTTTTATAAAAAAAATGTATAAGTTTTGCTTTCATAAAATGTATAACTTTTGGTTTTACAAAATATAAAATGCAATTAAATTTAACAAACAACTAATAATTACATAAACTAAATAAATGATATGTCTTTAGGTCATATTACAAATACGATGTTCAGATTATCTTTGTCTTTGTACCCCAAAAAAATTCTGCTAGTCGTTTTCTATAACCCGTAGCCCATGGACCGGTGGTTTTACTCTCTATAGAAATCGATTTTCCGGTGATCAACGCCTCCAGGAACCAATACAAAAATACCCCACAATCCCCTCTATTGCCAGTCTATTATGGTACGTCTAGGGCCTTTTTGTGGGTCATCTTGAAGCTCTTAAGTGCGATTGAATCAGTTGGTTCGGTACCTCAGTAGTTGCCCTTCCAATGACTATCGTATATAGTCATTTGGAATATCTTCAAGTCCAAAGCACCCAAAAACCAATGAGCATGTGGTATATTGATTGGGATGTAAAGCTATAAAAAAAGGTTAGATATAATTAATTAGTATATAAATACTCAGGTAATGTAATCCAAACAAAATTATACCGTATCACACTCTGCCCAAGCTGGGTAAATGGATATGCCAGTCATGTCACTCCAGTCAAATTTATCAGTGTTGAAAGTTGACGACACAACCGTCCACCGAGCACCATCCGCTCTACGCTCTACCAACAATGAGATCCACATCATGATGTGCTGCCAATTAATTTTTTGCAGTAAAGTAAGTATTGTTATTAGAAGCATATTATGTAATAAGAAAACAATTATATTACTTACATCACATGACAACCATCCTCCACGACTATCCACATATAACCGTGTCCAAAACTCAAGCATAGCAAAACCGGTCAAATAATTGTGACTAAACAACAGTGAGCCATCTCGATCTTTATAAACAATGTGTACGGTATGATCTAAAAGATTGTCCAACGGTGCTGTTGTTGTCGTGTAACACATTTCATCTTCATTTGTATCCATGACGACTTATCCCATATGGACATAAATTTTTGGCGCTTAGAACGCTTAAGAGGTGTTGGCAACGGTGTTTTGTATTCATCCTGAATAATCTCTTTTACATCCGATGAATGAATAACCAGAGACTGCTTCTCAGGTCCGTCATTCAATGGTTGTTCAGGGCCGTCATTCAGCGGCTGTTCGTGGGTGCGGAAGGCATAATCATGCTCCCATAACTAATTGTCATTGTAGTATCCTTGTACGGTTCAATAATGTATACTTGTAAACGATGAAAAAACATAACGACCATAAATGATGAAATAATTAAAAAATGTACCTCCATCCCCTTCGAGGTACCAACATTGTCTTCGGGAGTCTTATTGATAAGTTTTAGAACCATGGCTAAAGCAGCCTCATGCTCTGCTAAACATTCATCCTGAGACCGCAACTGCTCGCGACATTCACGAACCTCATTTTTCAATTGACGGACCTCGTTCTGCAAGTCACTAATAATTCAATCCTTGTCAGTTGATGGGTCAGCGGTTGGCGGTGGTGGTGGCGGGTGAGATGGATCATCTATCTGCGCCTTCTTTTCTCGAGGCTTATGGGTAAGGGAGTTTTTGGGTGATGGTGTTAGGGAAGGTGCCATGTGAACTTCAGTGTCGGGAAAATCAGGGCGATCAATCCACGCCAAGCTAACAATCCACCATTCAACACACATCTCATCTTCCGTCAGCTCCAACTTCTATACGAGTCTATTACCCTGCTAACAAAATTATAAAATTATAAATAAACATAAATTATAAAATAAATAAATATTTAATCAATAAAGTAACCATACGTCTTCGATTTGTAAAAACTAGTTGCAGTGAGTCTTTTGTAACACCCTCAATTTTGACCATGCAACAATCCGATAGATCACATTCTGTTGTCGGGTACCAAACAAATTGCTCACCGGAAAAGTCTCAATCTTATTGAATAAATAATAAATTTTTGAGGTTGGAGGTCAACAGTCTGATAGTTAGAATGTTAGCAAACAAAAATAAATAATAAATTTTTCATCATATACTTATCTTAAAAGCGTATAAAAAAACTCTGTAGGGTGTAGGTCAATTTTGAGGTTCGTTCTCTTTCGGTTCGGCGGGATGTATAAGCTTGTCAATCTTATTGAATACAGTAAAAAGTTGTTTGTACAATTGATCCCAATTTAATTAGTTAACAATTAAATTTCTAAAAAATATTAGTAACGATAAGTAATTAAAATCAATAATTATAAAATAGACGACATTATACTTGTTGAATTCATCACGGTTGGATTGAAAAGCGAAATACTCTTCTGTAACAGATTGTTTAGCCAACCGCTCAGTGAAACCCTCCTCTAACAGGAGGTATAGAAGACATACATGGACTGCATCCTCGTACGATAACTAATTAAGTGAATTTTTAAACACCTTTGTAACATGGTTTAATTTGACCGATACATTCGTCGGGACCATAGGAAGGGCACGGGAACGGAAGGTGGTGCCGGATGCAGAAGCAGGAAAATAGTCACCAAATCAGAAGCCGGTGATGAGACAAAATTCTTTCTTCCCGAAAGACAACTCGTAACCCCCAATCTTAAAAACTATTTCTTGTACTTGGCTTCAGGGTCGGTGACAACTTCATGGAAAAGGACGTAATGTAGAAGCAAGACCCGCATCTACATTAGGAATGTCTAACCACCTCCCGAAATATGTATTCCGGAACATAGTCTTGCATTCGGGTCTGTCTCTGAATGCCGCAAGAATTTCCCTGCCAATTTTGGGTTTACATGAGGGTGTAATTGAAGCATCAAAAACCATATCGTACTGCAAAAATAAAAAAGGTTTTATCACTTCATTCCAAACTGGAAATGACCAATATTCTAGACCAATTTCGGACCTATTCATCATGTTCCAGACGAGTTTCATCGTGTTTCAGAACAGTTTCTTGCGTTCTGGAGGCTTCCGGAATGAAATTTTAAGATCCGGAACACGACATTTCAATGTAAATCAACAATACCTAAACATCTAAACTACTTTTCAGTTGGTACTACAACAATGGCATCTTTAATTTAAACTCCGGAACGTTTTCAGTTCATTCCGGAGGTGGTCTACGAATTCCGGAGCAGTAACAGTAGAAAAATAGGAACCTTAAACAAACAAGGAAACTATGTAAAGAGAAAACAAAGAACGTACCCGTAAAATAACGGGGTCGTGGTGCTCGTCTTCCATGTCGGAGATGGGTGTCGATGCGTGTTGGTGATGGGAGTTGCGTGCAGGGCCGGTCCATTGGTTTTTAATGCCCGGAGCGAGATAGAAACTTTATGCCCTTATTTGTACTTTGTACCGTAAGATAAACACATGTCATATATAATTTTTATAAGAACATAAATGCTATAAATTTTGTAGTCAAACAAAATAAATATTAATACAAACCAAAACATACAAAAATCACTTAAAACTATGTCATTATGTTTTGAAGCATGTAATCAAGACTCTGTAAAAACAATACTTGAGATTGTTAACCCATCCGATCTTTCTTTAGTAACGGTAGTTCAAGATACAATTTCAATAGCTTCAACTTTGATTATTTTTCCGCAGAAGCAATTATAACTGGTACAACCACCAACAAACCAAACTTCATGTTTAGCTTTTGACTTTCAAGATGCAAGTAACCGGAATCTCGGAAATGAATCAGAAATCATAACCTTTTTTAATTAACACCAATGCAAAAATATTTATACCTCCCGAACAAACG